TTTTTACTCTGCAAGGACCAAAGCTGCACATGTGGCAACCTAAAAAAAATGGTATTTAAAATGCAGATGTGAATTTAAAGATTGCATTAGCAACACTCACTCCTTGCTGTTGGTACTTTGCCCAGACTTGGCAGATGTAAATCTAATTTGCCTTAATTATGCTTTTCTAAAAGAATGCTGATTAGAGAAGCTGTACACAAGTCTTAGAGTTGCCTTTTTATACATATGAATCATCTACCATTTTGAAACAACAAAAACCTTTCCCATGTGTTTTCAAACCTTCCCACTTATTTTATAAAAACACTGCAGGAATTAACAGTTAAGAAAATAAGAGAAGACATTTTAATTTTTCTCAGAACCTTAATTTCTACTGGTGAAGAGCAAAATGAAGGCACTTGAAAATAAAACAAGGGATTATTAAGATGCACCTGTTGGCAGGGCCGGCTCTAGGATTTTTGCCGCCCAAAGCGAAAACAATTTTGGCCGCCCCCCCCGTTCTTTAATTACCCCACCCCCAGCCCGCCTCAACTCCGCCCCTTCCCCAAATCCCCAGCCCTGCCTCCTCCCCCCAGGCTCTCAAGCCTGGGAGGGAGGGCGAGTAGCGGGGCGCGAATCAGCTGTTTCACGCGCCCTGGCAGCAGCAACGGAGGTGAGCTAGGGCGGCCAGGGCACATTTTTAGGGGCGGCATTTTGGCGCCGGCCATGCCGCCCCTAAAAATGTGCCGCCCCAAGCACCAGCTTGTTTTGCTGGTGCCTAGAGCCGGCCCTGCCTGTTAGATACAAAACTGCATTACATAGAGTATGGCTTGTTGTATCTTATCCACCCTCTGCCATTACTGATGTTTGTGTTCAATAGTGTGTTTGTTGCAGATATAATATAAATGCAAACAGCACAAACCCCAGAAATATTCCCCATGGAATTAACCCCCCAAATTTAGAAACTGTGTAGCCTCAAACACACGGCCAAAAAGATTAGGGGCTAAATCCTCAGTTGGTGTAAATTGGTGTCACTCCACTGAAGTGAATAGCTCCACCAGCTGAGGATCTGGCCCCTAAGTAGCTAAAGTGGCTAAGGATCCAAATCAGAAACTATACTGAGGAAATGAAATAAGACACATTTTCTGTCCCTCTCCCCAAAACAGTGGTCTTACATCTTTGTATGTACTATGTATGATTATTTGGCTGGGGAGATAATGTGCATGCGAAACAATCAAGCGGCATGTGGTTCTTTAGTTTTTATTTTTTTGCTTAAAATGGAATTAGAATATATTTTCATAACTTCTTTTCTAACTGTGTTCAAAATTGGGAGGGTTGGATGCGCCAAACAAGCAGGTGGCAAACTTGGAGCGCTAACTTGATAGAACTTTAAACTAGAAGAATTCAAATTGGTAAGAAGACACTAGTTTTAAGTTTCACTTGCATCTGAAGAAGTGAGGTTCTTACCCACAAAAGCTTATGCTCCCAATACTTCTGTTAGTCTTAAAGGTGCCACAGGACCCTCTGTTGCTTTTTACAGATTCAGACTAACACGGCTACCCCTCTGATAGTTTTAAGTAGAGGGTATAATTAACCATTGGAATAGCTTGCCAAGGGATGTGGTAAATATTCCATCGCTTGAAGTCTTTATATCAAAGTAAGGGCTTGTCTACCTAAACAATTAGACCATGACAAGCTGGGGTATGAATCTACCCAGCACTAGCTTTCCATGAACTCACTGTCCGTGTGGACCCTGCTGACATTAACAGTTCGTTAACGCACTTTGAACTGGTCCCATTTCAGAGGACTAGATCAGACAGTATTAACTAACTGGCAGTATGTGTCAGCACGATCCACCTAGACAGTCCATAGCAGGTTAGCACAGGGGAGATTCACATTCCAGCTTGCCATGAACTAAATGTTTGTGTAGCCAAACCCTGTAGTTCAGCCACAATGCCAAGTCAGGGTGAGCTGAGGGCACTAAGCACCTATCAGGTTTAGGCTCAAAATTACATAGATTACCGAGCAAGTGAAAACAGACCTGGAGCAGGGAAGGGAAAGAGAAGAGATGAAAGAAAAAGGGCCAAATTTCTGCTAGTGTAACCACTGAAGTCATTGGATCTCCACCAATTTACACCATTGGAGAATCTGGCCCAAACTAAGGAAAAGAAAAATTTATCTTGAGGAAGCACTATTTATAGACAATTCAAATAGATAATTTTTAAAACATAATCAACTGTGAGAAAGGGCATAGCATGTCAGAAGTGAGATAAGTGACAGAAATCAAGCAGAACGAAGTGATCTTAGAAGTGGATTAGGAGCCTGATTCGAAGCCCATTGAAAGTTTTTGAAGTCAGTGTGTTTTGGATTAGGCCTTAGCAGAAGAAAAAGGAGGCACAGAAACAGGAGTAGACATTTATAGCTTCTTTAAAACCAACCTGCAAATCAGGCGTGGGGTTTAAAGACAGATAACTAAATGCATCATCACAAAATGATGCCTGTGCAGGAAAGCAACATGGATGTCTACATTATACCTCCTTTCATAATTCAAATAACCAACTCTTTCATCACTATCAAAAGAGAGTACTTTTGGAGAGGTGACAGTTTTATATCAGAAAGAACATTACTTAGAGTAACTGTGGTTCTTTGAGATGTGTTGTCCAAATGGATTCCATTCTTGGTGTATACATATGCCTCATGTGCGCAGGACTGGATTCTTTTGGCCAGCAGCATCCACTGTACCTGCCCCTTAGATGTCCCTCATGCCCCTCACCTGAGGGAAGAGTGGAGCAGGCCCAACCATTGCTCAGTTCCTTTGTCAATATACAATTCCAGAGGAGTAGGACTCCATAATAGCGGGAAAAGAGAACAGGTCGTGAAATCCACATGGACATCTTGAAGAATCAGTTGCTGTGAGGTAAGTAACTGTTCTTTCAAGTGATTGTCCGCATGGATTTCACTCTTAGTAGTGAATAAGCAGTTGTTGGTTTGTTTGGAGGTGAGTAGTAGGAATTCTACTTAAACAATAACTACATGACATCCAATCTGGACGCCTTTGCCAAAGAGCAGGGTCTTGTGAAGGCATGGACTGAGCTGCACGTAGCTGCCATAGAGATTTCAGAAATAGAGACATTCTTTATAGTGGAATGAGCTCTAATGTGGCTATATGGATCTAACTTGGCTAGATCCATAGCACATTATACAGTTGGAGACCCACGTAGATAATCTATTTGCCCCAAAATTCTCTCTGCAAAGGGCACAAATGTGTTCCTCAATGTTTGTGTCCTGTCAGTGTAAAAAGACAGTGCCCATTCTATCTCAAGTGTAGCTTCCCTGAGTTTGAGTGAGGTGTGGGGAAGAATATTGGGGGATGAATAAACTGATTCAGATGGAATTCTGAAACAACTTTGAGCGTGCACTTGGACTGAGGTCTGAGAGTGACTGTGTCCTTATGAAACACTACATAAGGGGACCCAAGGTGAGGGCCTGAATCACCCCTATCTATTGAGCTGGGGTAATGGCCAGTAAAAAGGCCTTGCTGCCACGGGTGGCCAGAAGGAACTGAGGGATGGCCCATCCCCTCCGCCCTTTATGCCCTCAGATGAAGGGGCCATGAGGGCATCTAGGGTGCAGGGGCAGCCCCAACAAATACTGCTGGCCACAATAAGTCAATCTCCCATGTATGTGGCACATGTGCACCAAAAATTGAATCTATGTGGACAATCACTAAGAAAACTTTATAATTTTGAATCTGTCCCTACATTGGGGACATGCAAATGTAATGGAAGAATTTTATAGCTGTTTTATTAAAGTAGGTGAAAGCTTTAGTTATGAAAAGCAACTCTCTCAACAATTTGATGCAACATCTATATCCAGTAACAAGTCCAATTACTATAAGTGTATGTTAAGCCTAAGACTTGCCATGCAACCATCACCAAAGTGACTGAGCTATCTGATCAAACTTATTTGTCTGTATTGGTTAAAGTAAAAGGCTTATTCAACATCTATTAAAATTGAGAGAAAACTTTAGTAAATACGTTCATTTTCAGGTGGATGCAATGAACAGCTGCTTGCTAAGATGTTGGTTTACAATATCTTTCCTTTCATGCAGAAGCTATTAATTTGCATAAAACTTACAGCCTCTGGATTCATGGCCACTCTAGATTCTTTATAGTCTTTGATTTGTTGACTTTTCTTTTTCCATTTTCACCTAATAGACTCTTTAGAAAAGTCCTTAATATGCAAGTTCAATTTCCTGAGCAATCACATTAACCAATAAAGCACCTGAGGCTACAATTCAAGAAGCTCTATGCATCTTTTACAGCCTGAGTTCATATGGTAACGTTATCAATGATCAAAACAGTGCACATCCTTTTGCTGTTGTCTTTGCAAAAAACAACACTCCCAGAATTGATCTAATGAGATGAACGAAGAATGGAACAAGGAAGGAGAATCAAATCTCAGTAGAAAGCAGCTGCTCGCCCCTCAGGTCAAAGCAGAATCTGATGTGAAACTGAAGCGCAGCAATGAAGACTGAGAGACTTGGCTAGGAGATCAAAGCCCAAGTACTCTGATTGCCACATGGGTATATGGCAAGTAGTGTAGAAATAGTATTATAGCGGTGGCAATGAGTGGTGTTATAGCTAAGGCTGTGTCAGCATTTCTGTTATAAGGCCCAGATCCAACTCTTTTTGAAGTCAATAGAAAGGATGCCACTGATTTTACTGGGAATCAGATATGGTTCTAAATCATATTTTTCAGGGGGTTGTAATTTGGCCACACAAATTGCTGTCATCTGATGCTTGGGAAACAGGCTAATGCACCTTGGATTAAACATTTTTGAGAGAAGGTTTAGAAAAAATATTTTGTCTCTGCATAAAGTTAATAAATAAAAGTGATTTTGTACAGTTTCAGTCTCTTACATCCTTGTGCTTGCATTTTTGTATTTTAATATTTTGCAGGCCACTGTATTATATGCTGTAAACAAAGCCCTTTTGACATTTTGCACACACTTTACAAGAGTATTTTCAGATGTACATATATTTATTAGTAGTATTAGCTCCACATTACACAGATCGACAGGCTATTGTGTAATAACTTTGAAGGAATCAAACACACATTGCGGGGACAAGCAGTCTGTAAAAAAGGGATTAAAATCTATATCAGGTACAATAATTATTTATTATTTGTATTACAGTAGTACCTAGTTGCCTCAACTGAGACCAAGCCCAATTGTGCTACGCGATCTACAGATTCATAGGAGGAGGATGAATGCCCTGAGGAGCTTACAATTTAAAATATGAAAGGCAAAGTGAATCTAGTGCTCATGACAACTCCAGGAACCCAAGTCCTCTGTTGATCCACAGAACAGCTACAACACAGGCAGCAACAATACAAATGTGCTTTCACCCTAATGAGGTTAGACTTACCTCTAGGGACAAGTGGATAGTTCATTCTCCATGACCTCTCAATACTTAAGCTCTCTTCTATGACAGCCAGCAATGCTGCTAGTAAATACCAACATCAATGGTAACTTCTGTGATTTAGACACCTATTTAGAATGGAACTAGTGCCACCAGCTAACTTCACATCAGTCACTGGGTACAATTACTCACTAGTAGTCTGCAATGCATTTGAACCAGTTAACTTATATACACAAGGCTGCACATCCTACTGCAAGTCTTCACAGAATGTCATTACGTTCTTGTCCACTTATCACACATAATATTACTATGGTAATTAATGTTAACAGAGTGAATAACAAGAATTGATGCACAATCAAGTGGCAAGATTTGATTCTTTTCCATTGATGCACTTAGCACATTTACATGACAACTGGCCTACATCAGATCTATGATAGAACAGATATTTTATAATCATATCCATCTGTATTAAGAGATAGGATACATGCACACCACTCCCACTGACTTCAATGGGAATTGAGCATTAAGGGTAAAATTTGACCCTAAGTAATCCAGTGATTATCCCTAAAACAAATAAAGAAGCATTTGTACCAATGTCAACTCAGACATTTTTAGATATTTGAAAATGAACACCATTAAGGTGATTTGCAAATGTCTCACTTTGTGCATGCTTATGAAATAAAACGTCACCATATTTAGAAATATATGACGTTTCTTCCCATTGGGCCTGTGCCTGAGGGAGCAGTTCTCTCTGTGGCAGTGTGTACAAAGGGTTGGGAATGTGGGCAGGTAAGTCTGTGACTACCCAGGTCTACTAGCCAAAGCCCTGTTTGTAGGGACAGCAGCAAATACTACGGTGGAGAAGCAGCCATCAGTACTATAGGTCATACTGCGGTAGCAGCTACAGTGTTGCTCTGCGGCGTTGAGGGATGGTGGTAAAGGATTTCCACCAAAACAGAGATCCTTTGCACAAAACATATTTACTACACTTTGTACAGGGGACCAAGATTTGTTCCTGAGACTCAGGGTGAAATCCCAGCCCCACTGAAGTCAATGGGAGTTTTGCGATGGATTTCACTGGGGCCAGTATTTCACTGAGGCCAGGATTTCACGCTACATTTTAATTTTAAAATCCAGAGAGATTCTGTGATCAGGTTTTTTGGATGCATCTCCCCCTCTTGCTTCAATAACAAAGTTTTCTCTACCCATATCTCAATGATCCACAGAACAAACAGGAAGGCATTTGTCAAGTTAGAAAATCATGGTGCTCATTTTTATTTTTCTAGCAGCCCCAGAGCAACATTGCTTTGGAACCACATGAAGCTGAAGATAACGCCCGTTGTCTTAGGGAAGTGCTCATCAAAAGCAAATTTCATGGAGTCCTGTAAAGGTACTTCTACAACTTCAATCAGCTCTCCCTCTTCAGGCTGGCCTCCACCTTCTCCAGTTTTCATCTGATCTGTTACCTCTGCATAAAATAAGGTTTGCTTAGAACCTGTCACGCCAACTCCGGATCTGGAAAAAAAAAACAGAAGAGGAAAAACTTCACATTTATTTAAGAAAAATGTTATTTTGTACCTAGGAAACTGGGACCCTGGTCCTCAATTAGTGCCCCTGAGCAATACCAAAATAAAAATAATTATTAATGAATTTTAAGTATTCAAAGTGACAATGTAGAACCTCTTTTTATTCATAAAAAGTTAACTAAAATTGTCATGCAGAAATATTAGTGCACTTTTGAATTCAGTTCCACTTTAGCACAGATATGTCTACAACTACATTCTGTGGCTGCACTGAATGTTTATTTTGAAAGGAGGAATAATTGATATAACAAATGGAAGATTCTTCAATTGACTTCAGTGGGAGTTGGTTTGGGCCCTGATCTATAGAAACCTGCAAACAATAGGGTGAAGCTCCCCAGGGGTATTTGCATGTTACATTTGTTTGCTTATTTTTATAAGAAATTTTAGATTTCTGATGCTTAAGAAGATTAGGTTTATTCACAGCTGGAGTCCTCTATTCACATACTGGATAGGTGCAAGAATGGAGTGACAGTGTGAGATTCTTTTCTCCACCCCGCCTAACCCTTTTGACTTGACCCAAATGGACCACCCTAAGAATGAATGCATCTAAAGTAATTCAGCCTCTCAGCTAAATTTGTTATCATGGATTTACTTTAGGATATCTTAGATTATGCAGTCTTTCTTCAGCTAGACCACTTGCTGTGCGTTATACTTCTTATTTGTTAATCCTCTATTTCTTAAGAACTATTTCAGTTAGATTTTTTTAAAATAAGAGATAAGTACATAATCCACTCACTTGGTCCTTCCAGGAAAATAGTCACATTGCAATTGCAATTGCAACTTCTGCATTTCCTGTGATAACCAATGACTTTTAAGGCATATTGGGGGCTGATCCAAAGTCCACTGAAGCTCTGGATCAGGCCATGAATGCTGAAGAATTATCCTCAATATTATTGTACATAGGATTCAAAGATTTGGAGTAGATTAAAAATTATTTATTCAATACATATAGTTTTATTATAGTTCTAATAAAATAAAAATCTTATAACATATAAACCCTTTTTACTCAATCTCTAGATAACTAAATCTCCCAGTTAGTCCAAGGTAAATCATATCCCTAGCAGGAATTCAAGCCAGGCTGTATTCTTTCAATCTTCTAAAACAAATCTAATTATTTTGGCTGGACAACTAGTATTAATTAGTCAGTTTGTTGCTATATCAATAGCCACAATTTTTTTTCTTAATGAAAACAGAATTGGAGTCAACAAGCGGCATTCTCTTCCTAACTCTCCCACTGATGTACTGTGTGACCTTGGGCAAGGCACTTCAACTGTCTGTGCCTCAGTTTCTGCATCTATAAAAAGTGGACAATGAAACTTACTTATCTTTGTGAAAAGCTTACAAGAGACTAGGATGAAGGGTGCTATGTAAGTATTCAATCTATTCTCTGCTTTCTCGGTGATTGTACTATTCTTCTGATACATTCCTTGGCCAAAGATAATGTGACCTAGTGGGAGGTAGCAAGAGAAGAGGCTAATGGGCTTCCCCCTTTCTCTCCCGCCTCTTACTGAAGGATGTGACCTGCTTTCTCAGTAAAACTGAATTACTATTTACTGTCCCTAATGACCTGGTTTTTGCAGCCACTGTCCTTAGCGTTTGTATCCTATTATGGTGGCTATCACTGCAGGATTGTCAATTAAAAAAAGCTATCCAGCACTGACAATGATTCACAGACTTGATGCACCACTAGCACAAGATCAAATGCCTTCTCTGGACTCCCCCCTGCCCTTTGCACCCTTTCCCCTTCTCTAATGGGAAGCTGCTCGGAAGAATAACCCCATCAGGCATGCTGCCACTCATCTCAGTTGCAAGTGACGATCCAACGGGCAGAAGACACAATAGAAATGCAGTCTTTGAAAGCAGCAGGATTTACACACTGGGCCCACCATGCTGGTTTAATCATTCTAATCTCATTATAAAAGTAAGGTAGACCCATTTTTCATGAAGTTGCTACCAGCACCCAGTTTTCTAAAGTTGGAATGCCATTTTTTATGCTAATATGCTATCAGTGTTCTCTCTGCTGTAATGACGATGACACACTTCTATATATTTTCTTGGTACTAATAAGCATTAATGCATGGTATTAAAAAGCAACACAGGAGATGAATCACTGATTAAGAACAAACAGGGTTATTTCAGAGGCCACCACAGGCAAGCCCTTTAAATCCTAGGAGGAGTCCAAGTTGTCTGTAAACATGCTGGCCCCAGTTTATTCACCTTGTTTCATAGGTGTAGCTTTGGGAGGGAAAGTAAGGGGGTTGTGGGCCCCTCCCCTCAAACTGCAAGCCTCGAGCAGGCATGGAATTTGCACCCCCATGCGCAGCCCCATTGGCCTGACTGGAGCTGTCTCCCCAAATATAGAAGTCAAACTATGCCTTGGCTTGCTTTCCACCACTGAGCTCCACCCTGAGTGCTATCAACTTTTCCCAATCCCACCTCAGTCTGTATAACAAAATCGTAACTTAAAAGACTTATTTGCCATGGAATATTACGTTGTTTTTATATCACATTTATTTTAATGATTGGCCCTCATTTTCCTATCTCCTTCTATTATCTGTTATCTGTGTGTTGTTTGCATGAGGGGCACTCTGTTTTTCAGTCTATAAGAGGTGGGGATATTCTTTTTTCTTGCTGTTCTTTATATAGGGTATGATTTGTTTTTCATCGGTTATTTTTTGAGGAATTGTGTTTTTAATAATTACAAAAGCACACAGAGCCTGGGATTTGGTATTTTTAAGTAGAAACCTAAAGAAATGAAAATAAATGTTGGATTAATTTAGACTGTAAAATCTTCAGGGCAGGGAATGTCCCTTGTTAATCTCTATATGTGCCATGGTAAATTACAGAACTACAGAGGTGTTTAATAATAAATGAATAAATACATAATAAAATATTGCTGGTGGCTATCTTGCCTTCTGATCTAGATTTGCTCTCACCTCAACTTGATTTACACAAATTCTTTTTAGGACCAATTCTAGCAATTTGTATCATATTGTATTTCATCCAAAAAATAACAAGTGGGAAAAACAGTTTTGAGTAGAAAAATATATCCCCTTCCCTTTTAACCTGCTTCTGAAGTTCATGACCTTTTTCAAGTAACCAAACTGGTGCAGATCTGTAGATAGACAATGAAAGCATTAGATGTAACCTAGTCAGTTTGATATTATGCAAAGGGTCAGTCTGCAATCCACCAAGTTTAAAAACATATGACCCTTATATAAAAGACCCTTCCATACAAACTCTCTGCCTTAATTATTTACAGGGTAATCTCTTCCTATGCTACCCATGACCTTTTGCTTTTGAAATAGCTGCAGCTGTGGAAATCACTGAGTTCTCCCACCATGTATCTTTTCTTTAGCGTAAAAGAAAATTGTTTCCTGAGTCACAGCATCATGAGAGATTCAGTTTCTTGCCACAGGATCTCAAATAGCTTATTGATTTCACGTCAGGATATTATTACTTACATGATACTCCTCCTTAGTACAGGCTGAGCTCAAAATATCAAGACTGGCTATTATTCTCAAACTTAAAGCGTTTTTAAATGATGTTTGGCCAGGATCTCATATCTTTCCTATACTGTAGTACCTGAAATTGCACACTAGTTTGGGTCATATCTTGCCATCTATTTATGCATAGAGCTTGCCACTGAAATGAATGGAATGTTTGGGATAAATAAATTAATGGTAGGATATGGCCACAGCTTCATTTGTTTGTTCTTCTATTTGTATATCTGCCTCCAAATAAGCAATATACACGAACAAAGGATCTGATAAATGCTTTTCACTGCAGTTTATTTTACTCCTCTCTCTAAGACTTTATATTTGTAAATCTATTTATGTTCTAATTCAACAGCTCCTCTCAATTTTAAACTGTCTAACTTTGAATACTTTGTATAATATTACATTATCTTCGGTATAACAGTAAATTGACTAGGTTATGCCTAATGCTTTCATTGTTAAATTATAGATCAGTCTCACTTTGGATTCCAAATAAGGTCATCTACTTGAGGAAGAGATCAAAAGAGAAAGCAATATATTTTGCTGCACAAAAGGGATCTATTTCGAGTATTTTCCCACTTACTATTTTTTGTCTAGATCAGTGGTGCCCAACCTTTTCTTGCCGCGCCCTCCCTTATCAGTAATGGAATCTGTCCATGTCAGGGGTGGCCAACCTGTGGCTCCGGAACCACATGCGGCGCTTCAGAAGTTAATATGCAGCTCCTTGTATAGGCACCGACTCCCGGGGCTGGAGCTACAGGCGCCAACTTTCCAATGTGCTGTGGGGTGCTCACTGCTCAACCCCTGGCTCTGCCACAGGCCCTACCCCCACTCCACCTCTTCCTGCCTCCTCCCCTCAGCCTGCCATGCCCTCGCTCCTCCTCCCACAGAGCCTCCTGCGCGCCATGAAACAGCTGATCGGGAGGTGCGGGGAGGGAGGGGGAGGCGCTGATCAGCAGGGCTGCCGGTGGTTGGGAGGCGCTGGGAGTGGGGTGGGGAGCTGCTGATGTATTACCGTGGCTCTTTGGCAATGTACATTGGTAAATTCTGGCTCCTCCTCAGGCTCAGGTTGGCCATCCCGGTTCATGTCTTCTCTCCCCCGCCACCCTCTCATCACTGCACACTTGGCTCAGCAGAGGAGCTTGGTCTGGGGAGGAGCTGGGGCTAAAAGCAGAGCTGGCCTGGAGGCAGAGAGGGAATGAAGGCAGAACTGGGCTGGGGGTGGAGCAGAGGGAGGAGTGGAGCTGTGGCTGGGGCCAAAGCTGGGCTGGGTGGCGCTCTCTCCCCACCCCCCCATAGGGGCTGGCCTGGGTCCCTCAAACATTCCTTTGTGCTCCCCTAAGGGGGGCGTGCCCCACAGTTTGGGGACTACTTGTCTAGATGATTTGGCTTTATTATCTTCTGATTCAGTTAAGTGTCATTGTCTTCTCATGGA